TTTCCCCAGTGTATACCATGTGAGTGTGTGGCTTAGCTAACGTTAGGTTACCACAACGACTGTGAATGCTGTAGTATATTCAATGGTTGGTTTATCCCAAGTACAAAACATTTTCTCATTCACTTCCAGTCTAATCTGGGATTCAGGTTTTCCCTTTTATATATATGTCTTCTTTTCAAAATGATGCCTGCACGTTGGGTGTCTTTAGTGGTGCTCACAGCTTTGAGACTATTAAAAATCAGCAACACCATCTCTTCTGAGAAACAGTGTTCCTGTTATTCTGAATAACCCGTACACCTCAATGTCATCAATTCACTATGGGTTCTGTGGATATTTATTTATTTTCATTATTGATTAAGCTTAATCAGTTAATCGTCTGGTGAGTAAAATTTTAGAAAACTGAAAAATGCCCATCAAAAGTTCTCTGTCTTGTCCTGTCCACCTAACAATCCAAACCCCAAATAATTTACAATCATAGAAACCTAAGAAAACCAGCACATATTCACATCCAAGAATCAAAACTCTAATCAATTAGACAACCAATCCTTGAAGCTGAACTTTTTTTTTTCCCCAAAGACTAAGATAAGAGTATTTTGGTAAACCAACCCTGAAATTATGTTGTGTCAGCATTGGGTTTTGGCTCCCTAAATAATCATCTTGATAAATTCTATAAAAGTAATAGGCATTTCTATCATCTATTGACAGAAATCTATTGATTCATGATGATTTTTATTATTTTTTTAAGGAGGGACTGATCAACTTCAAAGCTCTGAGGGCCAAGTTTCAGGAAGAGGCTCTCCTGGCTCAATCCAAAGGCAGTCGACCAGTTGTTGCAGAGAAACCCAGACACTTTCCTCCTCCTGGAGGTCACTGCAGCTCAGTGGTTAGCAGTATTCATATTGCTGTAGAAAACAAGACACCAGTGGTTCCCCGGGTCATCTTCAGAGAGGGGCTGCGGACATCTGGAGGCAAGCGACCAATTTCCTTTCCACCACAGCCTCAGCAGACCTCCCCCCCATCCAAGCTTGCTAATGGAGACAACACAACAAGACAGTCCCTCAAAGACCGACACATGCCTCTGGTGCTTCCTGTCCTGCCTGTAAAAGAGCAAAAGACCAAACTGCCAGCCAGAATGGAGCACAACCTAGAACCACAGCCAGTGAAAGAAGTCATGCCACAGACAAAAATCAAGAAGAAAGGTTTGCTCCTTCCTTTCAAGTCAGCCAAAGCATCAAAAGTCAGTGCGGAAAACGGAGTCGAGCCGACTTATGCTGATCTGACCACCAGACCTTCCAGTGCTCCCGGCGAGTTGCCCTCTGTAGAAAAACAAAGCAGAGAGGATGGGGTTTCTCTCCAAGGTGACCAATCAACCGCTGAGTTCCCCCTCTCCAGCCCAGATATCCCAGTCACCCCTCCATCCGCAGAGACAAGCGTCGACTCGGACAACAAAATCATTAGTACCTTGGAGAGGGCCAAGAAGAAGTTTTCACGCAGGCAAATGTTGATCTCTGTCAGACCTAAGAGCTTGTGTTCCCCTGACTATGTTTCAAGAGATAAGGCTTTTCCTTTGCCGCCACAGACCACTGAGAGTGTTGAGGCTCATCTACCCATACCCCCACCAGTCTGTCCTCCACACCTGACTTGTATTTCAGCGCGGCCTTTCTTCAAAGCCAACACCTTTGCGCGCAGTAAGTTCTATTCAGTGATAAACTTTATTTGTCCACATCAGAAACCTTTCTAATATTGTATTTCCCAATGGCCAGAGTCTCCGTTGGACAAACCCTTTGGCAGGGGTAAAGTTCCCTCTGTCAGGACTGGTGAACCTCGTCCACCCTCTGCTCCTCCAGCGAAGCCTCTACCTGACTTAAGGTCACTGGGACCATTACCACCGAAGCCCCACAGACCTCCCTTTGTAGATCTCAGCTGTTACCACCTACCCACAGCAAACGGTATGTTATATTGCTTTAATGTTTGGTTTCTTTTTTTTTTTTCCCCCGTCGCTGCACTTTATTTGACTTTTGTTTCCCCCTTTTGTGGCTACAGACTTAAGAATATGACGGCAAAAAGTTGTATTTTCCTTGGACATTACTCACCGTGTATCATCTGTACTGCAGCCTACATTCTACTTATTTGTGGTAAAGTTGAACATCTGTTGAAGTGCTGATTTTGGTTTCTTATTATAGAGGTGTCACCAGGTCTTAGCCAAGCACCAAGTGAAGAGCCAGAGCCTGAGCACCCATCGTCTGTGCTTGACGCTCCAGAGTTTCCAGACTTTGAGAATTCAGAGATGGAAACAGCAGAGGGTGAAGCTGTTGACCTCAGTGCATTAGAACTGGAGTCCTTAGACTTGGTCAGCACTGACTCTCCTGTACCAGACTGCGGTGTCACCGATTGTGAGGGTCAACAACCTGACATGTCAGTGTGTGGTCCTGTGGAGCCCCTTATGAGCATGGGCGTTCAAGATGTGAACCTTGGCAGTGAAAACATTATACCCCTCCATCCAGCCTGCTTCCCTGAACCAATAAACCTTTCAGAGTTCCCAGAGTGTGCTGGACCAGAGCAGTGGTCTCAGAGTGAGGAGGTGAGCAGCATAGATCTTCTGTCTAACTCTCAAGCTGATGAGACTGATCTGGGAGCTGCCGAGTCTCCCTCTGCTGCACAGGAATCCGCTTTGAATGATGGGATTCAACCACACACAAGGTGAGTTTTCTTTAGTACCTGCAATCCCACTTTGATTCATTTTTACCCATTTCCTGTTTGTACAATTGTTGTTTGTTATGATCCCCTCTAGTGTGAATCAACAGGACAGTTACTATGAGGCGTGCGATAATGTGTATGAGGATGTCGAGAACCTCAACAAATTTATCTTGGGCCAGAACTCGCGGAAACGTAAAGGTCCTCTGAAGAGTAAGAATGTTTACTTGATACAGTGGGGAGGGCGGGGTTATAAACCCATTTGCAAACGTTCATTTACCCTGTTTAACTTCCTTGTTAATCATTTTTTACAGATCCATATGCCGACAACCACCCTATGGTAACTAATTGTTTAATCTAATTGAATATAAAATCATCAGAGTGAGTGAGTAATAAGAGAACAGTTAAGTTTATGGCCAGAGACGCTCTGTGCAAAGAAGAAATGATCAGCTTCAGTGTGTTTAACAATCATCTGTGGTGAATTAAAAATCCTGTGTTTATTTCAAGAAAGAGGAGGCATGTCTTAACATATGGCCGCGGAATCCATGGTATGTATTTTATTTTTTATTTTATTATTTTTTTTTTTCAAACCTATAAGCCCTGTGTTTTATCATCGTCATTTTTTTTTGCCTGATAGAAGGCATCCATTGATTTTTCTCTTACTGTGGTAATCAACCTGCAGGGGTAGTGTATCAGGAGAACATGCACATTCAGCCCATAATCATATCCTCAGGTATGTTACACGTCCCCTTTGTTGCTGTTTTACTAGAAATATGATGTTGTACAGCAGGTCATATTTATATCCATTTGCCCTTTGTTATCACATTGAGAAATGCTTTTGTTATTTCTTATTCAGTAATTTTACGAGCATATGGTTCCATTTATATTTCAGGTGGTACTTGTAATCTTTATGGAAAATAAGCAATTTTTTTGCCACTAAACAGTCTGATGTGCTTTCAGTAAAGAACGCCAGAGCCCCAACACTGCAGACCATAAAGAACAGAAGAAGAGGGAGAAGCAGCGACTGGAGAAGGAGAAAAAGGAGCAGAAAGAAAGGGAGAAGAAGGAAAATGAAATGAAAAAGAAGTTCAAAGTAAATTAGACAATCAAATTACTCAGAAGTTGATAATTTCTTCCCTTAAGTTGAGCTGTTTTTTTTATTTTTATTTATTTATATAAGGTTTAAAGTAAATGACTTTTTTGTCAGAAATCTACTTGGCTGAAGTATATTTTTACTTGGCCATACGGTATTTAAAAAAAAAAAAAGCAGTTCAAAGTTGCTCAGCACTCTAATTTACAGTAATTCCGCATGGTATTGTGACATGGCAGCACACTCATTGCTGAGATTTGACTCTGTAGGTGACCGGCGAAGAGGAGCCCATGTACCACGCCAAGGTGATGGTGGCTAGCAAGGTTCGCAAGAATGACCTGCCTGTGAAGAGTGGGGACACAGTGAGCATCATTCGCACCACCAGCTGCCCCAAAGGCAAATGGTTGGCTCGAGACGCCAACCACAAGTGTGAGTTCAGACATATCGATTTGGTTTTATGTGATTATGAAGCCAGAAGTAGTTGACATTTTCTGTCAAATCAGGATTTGAGATAACACAACGCACTGGTCGTTGATGCCAGCATGTTTTTAACTTAACACAAACAGGCTAATAATAGCATTCGATCACATAAAAGAAATGTGAATTCTTAACAGGGTAATTACGGTTTCATATTTACACCACAATGTCATTAGGCTTTATTCGTTAGCAGTATATTAACCGCTCTGACCTGGTATTGCAGATGGTTATATTTCAGTTATGAATGTGGAACTAAATATCAAGGAGATGCTGGAACTTGGCAAAAAAGCCCAAGCAGGTGGACGAGGAGGAAACCAGGAGGGAGACACCATCAGCATTGGGAGCAGGTACTGGGTAGCTCACTGATCAAATTCATTGGTTTCTCAAATAAAAAAACATTAGTCACCAGCTGTTGTTGCCAGTCCATCAGTGTGTGGAAGTGATGCATAACTCTTTGTTTTACAGATCCTCTAGCCATCCTGTACTAACAAGCAGCTGTAAGTGTCAGTAGCCTCTGCACAAAGACATTAAGCTCTAAGGTTAATTTATTATTCTTGTAGTTTCACCTCTCACCCCAACTTTGCATCATGTGAAAAAGAAGTACAGCCTAATAAAGACAGCTCACGCAAGGTTTAAATGGTTGATGTAATGTATGGACTGACGGAGAACAATTACACAGAGGTTGATTAAGAGCCCAAAGGCGGGCACAGCCCAGTGTCTGGCCTGAATAACTCAACTAGTTGTCGTCTGCTTGACAGCCATGTGTTATTTTATGATTGTGAAGGGTTTTTGGTTTCCAGCCTGCTCGGCATCTATCATCAGCCTGCACACTGTGCTTAATCAAACGAATCTGTTTTTCCACAGTCACAGATGACAGTGAGGAGTGGGCCTGCGAAGATGAGACCCTCTCACCCTCCATTGAAAGCCAGTAAGACTGATATGTTTACTCTTTACTGTGGCTTAAAGAAGAATAACAAACTATTGAGTACTTTTTCCCTCTGAAATATATGATTTAAATGAATGTGGCACAGTCTATATAGTTATTTTCTTTCTCTTCATTCTGTATAGTAGCTTTCCCCAGCAGACTGCCTCAATGTCTGACATGTGTGAGTACATTTTATATCCACTCCTTTTTAGAAGTGAAAACATGAACAGAAGTTGTTGCTTTCCCCCCCTCTCAGCCTTCTGGTTTAGTGGTTTTATGTTGTGCATTGACATATGGCAGACTGTAACATGCCTTTGATGTACATTTTTACCAGGCCGTTTACTTTCTCCCTCCCACTGTCTTACTGTCTTTACATAATTCCCCCCCATCCCTCCGATCCCCACCCAC